AATGCGTTTATATAAACCGTGTTTCTTAAAAACGAAGCAAACTCATGAAGTCAAATGCACGGACTGGACTAAATATCAATGCGTAGCCTATACCATACCATACCAATGCGTAGCCTATATACAAATGGCTCTAAAATTTTTTCGTTTTGATGAAATCGAAAAATTCTTTCGCTAGAACACTATACTAAATGAGGGCTGGTGTTTTAATAAATATCAATGCGTTTATATAAACCGTGTTTCTTAAAAACGAAGCAAACTCATGAAGTCAAATGCACGGACTGGACTAAATATCAATGCGTAGCCTATACCATACCATACCAATGCGTAGCCTATATACAAATGGCTCTAAAATTTTTTCGTTTTGATGAAATCGAAAAATTCTTTCGCTAGAACACTATACTAAATGAGGGCTGGTGTTTTAATAAATATCAATGCGTTTATATAAACCGTGTTTCTTAAAAACGAAGCAAACTCATGAAGTCAAATGCACGGACTGGACTAAATATCAATGCGTAGCCTATACCATACCATACCAATGCGTAGCCTATATACAAATGGCTCTAAAATTTTTTCGTTTTGATGAAATCGAAAAATTCTTTCGCTAGAACACTATACTAAATGAGGGCTGGTGTTTTAATAAATATCAATGCGTTTATATAAACCGTGTTTCTTAAAAACGAAGCAAACTCATGAAGTCAAATGCACGGACTGGACTAAATATCAATGCGTAGCCTATACCATACCATACCAATGCGTAGCCTATATACAAATGGCTCTAAAATTTTTTCGTTTTGATGAAATCGAAAAATTCTTTCGCTAGAACACTATACTAAATGAGGGCTGGTGTTTTAATAAATATCAATGCGTTTATATAAACCGTGTTTCTTAAAAACGAAGCAAACTCATGAAGTCAAATGCACGGACTGGACTAAATATCAATGCGTAGCCTATACCGTGTTTCTTAAAAACGAAGCAAACTCATGAAGTCATATATCATATATAAATGCACGGACTGGTGTTTTAAATATCAATGCGTAGCCTATATATTTAAATTCACGGAGTAATGTTTTAAATATCAAAATATCAATGTATTTATATAACTAAGCGTGTTTCTTAAAAACGAAGCAAACTCATGAAGACATATATATTTAAATGCATGGACTGCGGGGTTTTAAATATCAATGCGTATATATAAACCATGTTTCTTAAAAACGAAGCAAACTCATGAAGTCATATATCATATATAAATGCACGGACTGGTGTTTTAAATATCAATGCGTAGCCTATATATTTAAATTCGTGGAGTAATGTTTTAAATATGAAAATATCAATGTATTTATATAACTAAGCGTGTTTCTTAAAAACGAAGCAAACTCATGAAGACATATCATATTTAAATGCATGGACTGCGGTGTTTTAAATATCAATGCGTATATATAAACCATGTTTGTTAAAAACGAAGCAAACTCATGTAGACATATAATATTTAAATGCACGGTCTGCTGGTTTAAATTTCAGTGCGTTTATATAAAGCGTCAAAAGCGTGTTTCTTAAAAACGAAGCAAACTCATGAAGTGATATCCAGGCGTTATAGTAAGCCTGTACTCGTCAATTAAGATAAGATTACGTTTCATCTCTTCATGATTCTTTTGACACTGCAGATGACAGATTGTGAATCCTATCACCGCGGCATACCGTCGGTGAATAACCTAATAATGAGATCATGTTTCTTTTGGCACTGCAGGTGACGAATCGGTATTCGTATTTACCGATGGTTAAAACATTTTTACCATTCGTTGCGTATCGTAATATTGGATATGTATGCTCTTTTGGCAAAGTGCCCCAGCCTACTCAGGTTTTTTTTCAGGATTTTCTCTTGGGTCCGTTTTGGCAGAGAAGATTGAGTTTAGCTGAACAGCTGGGGTGGCTGCACCCCCCCCCCCTACCGGGGGGCTGACACTTGTGCTCAATAAATGTAGTTGAGATGGAATGTGTTAAAGCAGGGGCATTGAGGGACACTATAAACTGGTTAAAGATGGCGAATGCATAGTTTTTCTTGTGTTGTGAGATGAATTCCAGCAATTTTTTCTTGCATTGAGGGACACTATAAACTGGTTAAAGATGGCGAATGCATAGTTTTTCTTGTGTTGTGAGATGAATTCCAGCAATTTTTTCTTAATTGTCGGGTTTCCAACTGAAAACTAATTTCCCCACATCACAAATTTAACTCAAACAACTTCATTTTTACTGCACTGAAACTTTGGTGAGAGGATTGAGTTTCAAAACTCAATTCAAGATTCAGTTTTTGGGGCTGTTTAACGGCCCTAAAAAATCCCTGAAAAAAACCCTGCTACTGGAGCAAAGTGCCCCCGGAGCAAAGTGCCACGCCCTAGTTTGGCTGAACTAACCTGCTATGAGGAGTTGTCCTCTGTTCTTCTGTGGATATATCTTGACTGGAACATAGCCCAGACATTCTTGGAATTTTATGATCAACCTTGTTGTGAGTGTAGAGATATGGCTCGGTATTGAGACTTTCTGAGAATGTCACAAAAGTGTTATTTTTGTAAGGCACTCCATTATTCTGCCAATATGTACGGTTGATGTGGAAACACAGGCACTGCGGCAGCTGAAAATAAATCACAATCTGTTGAGTATTAATGTTCACTACAACAGGTGTGCCTACCTCACCCACCAGAGAGAGAGAGGGGGAACCTCAGACCAAAGAGGTGGGGAAACCCGCAGACCTCAGGGGAGGGAAACCCGCAGACCTTAGGGGAAATTCTCAACCACAGGTGAAACTCTCAACCACAGGGGAAACTCTCAACCACAGGCAAAATCCTCAGCCCACAGGAGAGGGGAAACCCTCAACCACAGAGGGAGACCCTCAGACCACAGGGAAATGGAAACCCTCCATCACAGGAGAAACTCTCAGACAACAGGAGAAATTCTCAGCCCCAACCTTTGTAAATCACCTCAGCACTTGGCAATTGCCGAACCACATGCTGAGGCATATGGAGAGTGTTCTGACCTGCCTCGGCATAAAAATACCCGGTTTTGCCAAGGCAAAACAATAGGCTAATTACAACACAGGAGAGAAAGTTTTTATAGCCAAGAGAATTACCTAAACACTATATACTGTACTTGCCATACTCTAACTTATATTGTAAGCTAGGGACATTATTCTGGCAAATAGAGACTTGTTGGAGTATTTTTGCTGGTAGTGCAGACATAAATCTCGACACAAAAATGATTGAACTAACCTTTCCAATGCTAAGCTTCTTCAACAACCTTGTCTTGTGATTTTCACCATCCTTCCGACCACATCCAGAACATTGAAAAGACTCTAGCACTTCTGAACACATGAAATTCCTGATTAATCCTTGCAGAGCAACACTGGCAAACTGCAAATGAAATGAAAATAATTCACATGGCAATACCTAGAATTACTAACATTATCATGTAACGCATCACAAATACTAATTCTTCAAACCACCTTAGAGAATTATTTTACAAAAATTCAAACTTTGCATCAAGTCCATGTTCGAAAAAATATTTTCCTACATGAAAACAATGACTTTCAACTAATAATAAAAACAAGTTTTATAAGATCTAAAAATTTTGAAATTTAAATTTTTGGTCAAAAATATTTAATTCTTAAGTTTGTTATACAAGATACATGTTACACAACAAGATTTGAAACACATGTTATACAAGATTTGAAATCTTAGTCAAATGCAAAGGCAAACTGTTCTTCCCCTTTGAAACTTACCTGGAAACTTGACGATAAACTGAGAGACACTGTGTCAAATGAATCAAACTTGACAGGGTACTATTGAACAATAAATAAATAATTAATTAAATAATTAAACCTCAAATGTAGGTAGTCAATGACATGCGTATTAAGTTAAGTTGTTACGGTTTCTGTCTCAACTAACAGAAAAAGTCATAAGTTCTCTCGCAAAATGAGAGAGTCAATTGAAATTGAGAAGCACAATACTATAGATCAGGAGGGAAAGCCACTAGATAGTACATGGCGTACTCTCTTTAATGTGCAAAATTAATTTCTCTTGTCTTGGATGTGCACATGTTAATTAGAACCACTACTTTGAAATGTCGTGGTTGATGTACCGTTTAATTAAATTTCAAAAGATGCAAGCCAACAGATCACAACACTTTGATATACAGGGTGTATAAAAAAACTGAACAGATTTGAAATTGCTCTCAATTTCGCAAAACACCTATTTGTATCCGGTCTTAGGTGTTTTGCGAAATTGAGAGCAATTTCCAATCTGTTCAGTTTTGTTTTTTTATACACCCTGTATAAAAAGGGGGTGTGAATTGAACAAGTCACATATTATTAGCACTGATGAAGATCTGGGCTTACGGATCGAAAGCATTGCAGTAATAAATTTAAGTGGTGTTTCCACAAACTAAAGTAAACAACACTACATTTCCTGCACAGGATCAGAAGGCAGGAAGTAGTCGCAATACAAATCACAGGGAACTGGAATGACAAAATCAATAACCAAGTTGATACCTTATATGAGCATGTTTTACAAGACAGTTGATTTGCAAACAGTCCAACAAATGGAGACCACAATTTTCTTTGAACTTTCGATGCTTCAAAAAAAGTAATATAGTCATTATTTAGGGACCTGCACATGCTTGCTTATGGTCCCTCCCGTTTTGAGTAGGTTGCGTTTTGAATTTTAGATTTGAATTTTTAAAACATTCTTGCGGTCGCCCCTTCATCAAAGTTGAAATTATAAAATAGCTTTATTTGCATTATATATTTACAGGTATGGCTCAAGCATTTAGTTTCAACTACTATTCACAAGTTTCAAGTAGGTTTTCGACAATTTTCAGAACGTTTGGATTTGGAAATCAGAGGTGATTTTTGAATTTTTGAAAAATTTCCTGTGGCCCCCCTTTGCTAAGCTTAGGGTACCCTGTGGTTCCCCCAGTAAACTACGTGAAGCGTTCCTCTTTTCACTTCCTAAGGCGCAAAAAAATACCTGTGGTTCCAGTTTCATATTGCGAAAAAATTAGGGTTGGTAGGTCGGAAATAATTTTTTTTAAAAATATTTTTTTCACAGTTTTTTCAATAATTAGTGTGACAGCAGCCTGCAACTACCTGGAGAAAATAGGGTCCCATGGTCAATCGCATTGAAAAAATAATAGGGTCGGCTGAAAAAATAGGGTCGGTCAGAAACCAGCACCACAGGTATTTTTTTTATGCCTTACTCATTTGGAATTTTCCTCATCAGCTTTGCAAATTTGAAAAACTCTTTGGAAATCCCTTGAGGGAATTTGCAATATTCCTATTGGCTGTTGCAATATTCCAATGCAAAAAAACTTCATTTTAAATTTTTCTAATTTCCTGTTTTAATTTCCTGACTTCCTCTTCTGTTCCGAGCATTGTTATTGGTCGATTATTTTTGTTAGCCAATTGCAACGCACAGAACAGAACAGGAATTTAGGAACTTGTAACAGAAAGTTAGGAACTTGTAACAGGAACTGAGGAAAATTTAATCAGCTTTTAGCAACATTGCAATTTCCCTCAGGTAATTTGCAAGGAAGTTTTTTTAATTGCAAAGGTAATGAGAAAAATTGCAATCAATTTAGAAACTCAAAAGAGGAACACTTCACATAGTTTACCTGTAGAACTTGTTTTTTAATTTATCAGTCGAAACTAACTGTTTTGATGAGAGAAATGGTTTTCGACAATTTTGATTAATAGTGGTTTGTGCGCTTTTTGAATTTAAAAAAAAATTCCTGTGGTCACCCCTATGCATTCAATTAGCCAAAAATTTTCCAAACATGTTTTATTAGTGGAAAGTAATTGTTTTGATGAAAGAAATGATTTGTGACAATTTTCAGAGAACTAATTTGGGGCACTTTTTAACTGGACTTCAAACATGCAGGGAATTCATACCTTTGACTCCACTACGAAGGACAATACTTTCATCATGTATGCCCATGGTATCCTACAAAACAGACATTATGTCGTTTAGTGAGACTTTTTTCTAAGGGTTCAACAGAACTCAGTTCTGGCTGGTTAGTTCCGGTCAGAACCCCAATTTTTCTGAGTTCCGGCCGGAGAGATATGTCAAACGTTTTTCTGTGTACCGGTAATAAAAGTTCACAGTCTGTAGGGAAAAAATTTGGACTACGCAAGGGAAATGTACACTATTAACCCTTCATTATGACGTTTAACGTTTGTTGAAGTGTCTGCCTGTCTGGCAGCAGACAAAGTAATATATGAGACTATGCATGGCTTACTAAATCAGTTCCCGTTCCAGCTGGAACTTTTTTCCCCGTCCCGGTTGGATCCGGTTTCAGGCCGGAACTTAAAAAATTGGTTCCCGTGCACCCCTAAAATTTTCTGGTGTTAAATAAGGCACATTGCCACTTAAAGGGTAGTCTGTGTACAGACGGTATTATGCTGTTGTGGCATTGCTTGTCAACCTGTTGATTCTGATTTGTCACAACTGAACAGATTCTGATTGGCTGGACGTACCGTACAGTAAATATCAACAAACGTTTGACTTTGATTTTTAAAATTGAAATATTTTCTTGACAGTTGATGTTCATTGCAAACTTTACTGCTCTCTATGCTCCAAACTAAATTTCCGATGCAAAAATGTTTCCAATGTATTGCACAGTAATATCATATTCTATTGAGCAAATGAAATGCAACAAAGAGTTGTAATAACGGCAATTCCTGAGCATGATGGGCCTTGTTTACGTTTATTCAAAGTCAGAACTTTGTTGACCATTGAACTCAGCCAATCAGAATTGAGTGAGTTCAATTAGCCTTTCTCACACAGCCATTTTTGGGGTGCTGTAATTTTTTGTAAATGATTATAACAATGTGGAAAGCAATATTTCAGAACAAACTAACTATTTACAGACACGCCGGGTCAGCAGTTCTCACAAATCGGCCATCTGATATAAACTTTTTCAATATATTTCGGATGGACATGAAACTTGCCACATCAATATAACTTTCCATTCCGAACAATCGTATGTTTTTTATTTTTGAGATTTAACGGTTTTTGGCGGGAAAATCGCCACGAAACCTCCATTTAAAATTTACTTTCAATATCTTAATAGTTTTGTCGCAGAATTTGGAAGAACATGTCATGAACAGTTCAAAACTGAAAACGGATTTTAAATATCTAAATCTAATCCAAAGTTATTTCACCATAAAAACCATGAAAAATCTAAAAATAGTAACAAAATGGTGGAAAATTCGATTCTAAACTCCCTGTATCTCGTGATTAGATTAAAATATTTCAAATCTGTTTTCAGTTTTGAACTCTTCATGACATGATCTTCCACATTCTGCTTAAAAACTATTAAGATATTGAAAATAAATTTTAACTGGAGGTTTCGTGACGTCATTTTCCCGCCAAAAACCGTTAAATCTCAAAAATAAAAAACATACGATTGTTCGGAATGGAAAGTTATATTGATGTAGCAAGTTTCATGTCCTTCCGAAATATATTGAAAAAGTTTATATTAGATGGCCGATTTGTGAGAACAGCTGACCCGGCGTGAGAGTAAATTTACCATCATATACCCACAAAATTATAAAATGTCGCCATTACGTGGTGTTACGCTCGCAGGATTGGCAAAAAAGTACCCCAAAAGTGGCGGTGTGAGAAAGGTTAATTAACTAATTACAAATATTAAAGCACAATACAGTTTGTACACAGGCTATTTAAAGGTTAGATATCTTTGGATTTCGTACCTGATCAAAAAGAACTGAATTCCAAGTTTTCTGAGATGCCTATTGGAAAAGATAAAGGGTCATCACGATTAGGTGTAGTGTTGGAATAAGAGTTAATTAACCCATTGAGAGTAGAAGCACTCTCCCCCTGACAAGTAAAATCATCTGGCATTAGATAGCATAAAATAATAAAGTAGGGCACATTGTGGCTATTGCCACTTAAGGGGTTAGGACTCGAAGAAGGCTATGATTATATAGGGTTAATATGGCTAAGGTTATGATATAGGGTTAATGTCAAAATAGCATTTAGGATAAAGATTGAGGTTTGAACAATGTACAATTTTAAGTACACTTTAACCCATTGGGTGCTAGCACTCTCCCTTCAACGAGTAAAATCATTGGGCATTAGATAGCCGAGAGTAAAATAATAAAGTAGGTCACATTGGGATGGTGTAGGACTTCGGTTAACCATGGATGGTGTAGTCGGTTAATCGGTTAACCATGGGTACATAGTCTGATTAACCCATGGAGTATGCCAGCACTCTTCCTTCAACGAGTAAAATCATTTGGCATTAGACGGATCTGATTAACCATTGAATGGCAGCACTCTCCCCCTGACAAGTAAACTCGTCTGGCGTTAGACAGATTATAATAATCTGGCGTTAGAGTAAAATAGTAAAGTAGGACACATTGCCACGTAAAGGGGGTTAAGGCAGACTTACATGTTCTTGCTCATCGGCAAGTGTTGATGTTAAAACTTGGAAAATTTCATGAGCATCCTGAAAGTAAAGAATTAGAATAGAGGTGACATTATTGCAGCTGCAAAAATCCGTCAGAAACATAAATGAAACAGGGCTCGGAACTTGCGGTATCCCAATATCCACAGGATACCCAGAGCCTGAAATAACGGCCGGCGGTTTTCCGACCAAATTCCAGTTTTTCCGACCAAATGCTGAAATGATCGGAAGTTTCGTCCGGACAAATGTTGAAAAAAAAAATGATAATCTGTTTTTTTTTAATTATCGGGTCGGCGCTCAGCACAGTGAGTGCAGTATCTATAGTCTTAGATTATCTATACTAGTCTTGTATAGAGTAATCAACTGGAAAGTTATCAAAGTTTCTTCGATCAGAGTATGCTTTAAACAAAGTTTAGTTAACTTATATAAATGTGTGACAGTGCATGAGTTACGAGTCAGAGTGACTGCTTTCATTGTTGTTAATTTGACGACCTGGAAGATAAAGAATGCGTTTCCTCGACGTTTCGAGCAAAGGCCCTTCATCAGGACAGTTAAATAGGCTGTTTATTACAAGTAGAGTGATTTACTGCATGCTTGACATAATTTACTCAACGGAGGCGATCAAACTAAACTAAAAAATTTCCGACCAAATTTGAAAATTTCCGGTCAAATTTCATTTTGCTTGGAAGTTTTGCCGGACAAATTTAAAAATTATTTCAGGCTCT